CACGATGCTTAACATCCTCCTGTCTGTAAACAGCACACCTTTCCATACTTCACCTAGTACCCCAACCCAGTAGTAATTCTTTTACTGGACCACAGCCTACAGTTCATTATCTCTACTGCTCTTTCGTGATAGCATATTATTCTCTCTTCATCTAGCCCTCAGAATACCATTCTCCATCACTCTAGTCAGTCAACTCCCTTGCCGCTCTCTTCATATTCTGTACTGGGCTGTTAGGACTTGAAGCCTGCCCATTCCTTTCTTGCATTTGCTCAGTAGCATGTGGCTGGAGAAAAAACTTGCATAACCATTGAGACGTTTCTCATTTCATCTCAAGTAGACTGTGCGGCTCCTGTAGATGATCCGACTTTCCCCGTCAGACTTCGGACACCCCCTCCCATATTTCACTGAGAAAACAAGCAAACGACCATCCACCAAATGTCACCTCTACTACCCGTGGTGTACTCTGCCTTCCAGAATGTTGATGAACATGGCTTAATGGCCCACCAGTTGTCTTAGATCCAACCCCTTCTTGCCTACTCAAGAATTCTCATCACTAGCCACACAAAAGCTCGAAGATCCTGTTACTTTGTAAAACAGCACACCCTGAACCGACAGTCTTTCTCAAAAAGAGGAAGAACGGCCTATGTGATAGTCTTTCATTCTTCTCCTTCCAAGGCCTCACCTCAGTCAGGCCTTTGCACGCTGCAGTACGCTGAAGCTGCGCTGGCCAAAGATCGGTCAGTTTTCAGTGTTCATCTGTCAGCAACCTCATGCTCAATTGCTCCTGGAAATGTTGATTCGCTTGGCTTTAGGCACTACCTCCTACCGCACACTTCCCAGGCTGCTCCCGGATGGGAACAGAACTGTGCCTGCGTACCTCTTCTCTGTGCACACTGATGGTAAGCCCACCGTGATCTCATGCGGACTGATCCCTTTCTGTATTACCTTCAGCTGGACCTTTTCCCTCAATTTATTTCGAGTAAATCAATAGCTGCTGACTCTACAACTCCCTGCTCTCACCCTACCCCAGTATCTCAAGGCATCTAAAACAATTTCTTAAGCCACAATTCTTCTGTGCACACCTACAGATCTATTCCTAATGTCTTCAACTCAGTAAAAATTGCCATTACAGTTACTGCAGCCCAAACTGCAGTAGGGTCCATCGTTGATTCCTCTATCCTACTCCACCTTCACTGCACTAGCAAA